TTTCTCTTTCTCTCCAGTCCTGGCAGACTGGTCGTCGTCATCGTCGGAGAGGAGTACAGCCACTGATATATTCTCCCCCTTGGAAGCTTGTCTTTCTAGCTGTTGCTGTAGCCGCATTGCACTCATCCCTCGACTCGATCTTGCAGGTTCACTACTGAAGGTAGCTGTTGAATTGCAGCACCAATGATGACTCAGTGAATGAAGCAGTGTGTGCTCGATGGAAACAAGCGCCAGCGCCGATCGTCCTGTCTACATCACCCAGCAATACTTTGCCGCTTGTTTCTGTCACCACAAGTCTTTGAATCGATCTCGCTCCTCCATCACTTCTCACACTTCCTCCTCTTCTACCTTTTCACTCATCATCTTCCCCATTATCGTCTACTGTCTTCTGATATCTTCTTATCGAGAAATCTGTCAGTGTTACTTGAAAGTGCACTGCAATTCCCGGACCCTTTTTTTCATGCATCGATACGCCTTTCCAAGTGGCACTTTTCTCTTCTAAACACCAATGCCAATAAAGGTTCGTCTGCTGCTTGAACTTTTGTGTACATTGCCCATATCTTATCTAGCTGACAGTCATCGATTGGTGAGTGAATGAGGATGACGCAATGCGACATTACTTGCTCTATTCTCTCCTACTCTCCTCTTTTCTGAGTTTCTATCAATAGCCCGTCGGGACTATGTGCAGACACCGTTTCCGATAAACTGATTAAGTGTGAGATTCTGTGGCGGTCGTTATTGTTAGGTCAACAGTGCTGATCTTGGCCAACCTTGTCATCCATGTTAGTGCCTCACCGACACCAAANATGCGACATTACTTGCTCTATTCTCTCCTACTCTCCTCTTTTCTGAGTTTCTATCAATAGCCCGTCGGGACTATGTGCAGACACCGTTTCCGATAAACTGATTAAGTGTGAGATTCTGTGGCGGTCGTTATTGTTAGGTCAACAGTGCTGATCTTGGCCAACCTTGTCATCCATGTTAGTGCCTCACCGACACCAAACACTCTTGCGCAGTTACTGAGCCAGGCAGTGTGGTCACGCATTGCCCCTTTCCCTAGCCCCGTTCTTCAGCATTGTAGAGCACTGTCATCTGCTGTAGAGTAACCTGTTTATTGTTCCCCGTGCCGACTGGTCGATTGTCGATTTGTCAACCAGTGTGCCCTCCTAATCGGCGTGCCGGCGATAGCTGCCTGCCTGCCTCCCCCAATCAAGGCCACAGTCACAGCTTGCCCTGTCAGGTCGGCCTTGTACGGCAGCCCGTACCTGGTACCTCTCTATTGTGCACTCTACTTTTGTTGGTCAAACTAAAGCGAAATGTGTCACTGCGTGCACTGGTCCGGGTCCACAGGCGACGATACAGTGAGTGAGTTAACGATGGTCTGGCGCCGAGGTATTCATAGACACCAAGTGAATGGTGAACTTTCGTTTTACCGCTGGCACCACTAATTGCACTCTTTCCTTCTAACCTATTTGACTAGTTTGGCTAGTTTCGACGGCGTCTCTCTTTTCTCTCTCTTTCTCTATCCGCCTTCTCTCCTTTTTCTCTTTTTCTCTCTTGACTAGCGCGGCAAGCACTGGTTCTCCTGTTCTTCAGCAGCGCAACTCTTGTCAGTCCTGAGTCTGCCGTCCGAGGTAGTCCAAGAGCAAGACGTCATTATCCTCTGTCCATCAAAGTTACAGTTATGTGTCAAATAGCAAGTCAGCACCACTTTGCATTCACATGACGATGCTCCCAAGTACGAGTGGCAACTTGCTTGCTTGCTAGCCTGCGCTGTCCCCGTTGCCTTTGTTTTCTTCGCTTCGCTTGGCCACCGCAGCCAGTCTGTCTGTCTGCCAGCCTGCGTGTGTGTGCACCTTCAATGGTCACTCGCATCGCCTCTGACGTGATACCTCAATGGCACAACTGCACGATCTTCGAATATTGCCTAGTGAATCGTAGAGCAGCAGCAGTCCATCGCGTGCATCGTCACCAATGTTTTGCCTACTGCTTGTTCTGTCGCACTCGAACGACGATTTGAGCTGACCAACGCCATTCCTCGGCGACACTGCACAGTCACTAGCTGTCAGCAACGTGGCCACCCTTTTCACTCCTTTCCGTTCTGTTTGGCGTACCATCGAGTGCACCTCGGTGCACCATCAGCTGTTGGACCGAATCACTGCTAACCCCTGTCTGCCACTGTACTTTCTCACAAACAGATGAAAATGATCAAGCCCACTTCGCTGTTCAAGTGGCCACAAAACGGCGCTGCCAAGGCCCTGGACGCAAAGTCGGCAAAGCAACAGCAGGCGCAAAAGCTTTGGATCCACCCACCTTCTACGCTGCAGACCGGCCACATCGCCTACTTAGTCAAGGTACGGTGCCTTTAATTGTTTTACCGGTAGTCAACACTGCTAACACTGCTTTAATCTTTCTTCACAGTACTTTGGCAACGTGGAAGTTAGTCAGCCGAAAGGAATCGAAGTGGTCAAGGAGAGCATCAACAAGCTTAAATTCATCCAGCCATTGAAAAAGTCGGAAGGGAGCAAAATTCCCAAAGTAGAGCTGACCATTTCGGTGAATGGCGTGGCAATTCAGGAACCTAAGTCAAAAAAGATCTACTGTCAGTTTCCACTGCACAGGATATCCTACTGCGCCGACGACAAAACGGAAAAAAAGTTTTTCAGTTTCATCGCCAAGGATGTGGACACTGAAAAGCATCTTTGTTTTGTCTTTATGAGTGAGAAAATGTCCGAAGAGATCATCCTCACCATTGGCCAGGCATTTGATCTTGCTTACGCAAAGTTTATTGAAACCTCGGGAAGGGAGCTGGAGATTCGAAAGCAACTCATCTTGCTGCAGAAAAAGGTGTGCGACCTCGAAGAGGAGAATAAAAAGTTGAAGGAGCGAATCAGCAAGTACGAACCTTCAGAGAAGCCGTCAGAGAGTGTGAACCAGACAAAAACACTACTGTCCAATAGCAAAAGTGAGAACGGCCTTTCCTCAAAGACGACTGAGAAGGTGAACAATACGGCTGCCATTGCCGTGCCAGCATTGCAGCCACCGCCCAGTGCACGAAACCGAAACAATAGCAGCAGCACACAGGGTCAGATCAACCTACTGGACGCTGACCTGGAGTGCCATGACACGACAGTCGCCATTTCTGATCAGAACTTGATCACTGATCTACTTGACCAGGACTTTAATCCTCGTGCAGCTGACAAGGCCGCCGCTGCAGCTGCAGCTGCAACTGCAACTGCAACAGCTGTAACAGTATCGCAGCAGCCGCCACCTTCTCAACCAGAAAATAACTCTGATTTGCTAGGCATAACGCAAGAGAAGGACATCTTTGGCTGCGAACCCTTTCACGTGCAAGATCCTTTTGGAATGGGGCAATTCAGTTCGGGAGACTTGGATTCTGCTATTGTCAGTCTGGATCGAAAACTGGCAGAAATGCGAGTAAGTAGTTTGTCCTGAACGATTGTGCGTTGACGTAAGCAGGCGACTTCTAATGACATTTATTTTGCAGGACGGCTTCAGTCAAGGATTCTCTGCTGGCGGATTCAACATGGATTAGCGTGCTGTGTCGTTTTCTGTAGCGTTTGCATTGAACTTTTTGTGATGTTTGTGTTGTGTTGTGTTTGACAATTTGCAATTTGTGTGTGCCTTTCCTCTTCACTGCACATTCCACTGCACTGTCAGTTTCCGTCAATTCCTTTTTGTTGTGATGTACATATCGACGACGGCAGCTGACGTTTGCTGCTCTATTGGAAGCTCATTTGATATAATAACATTTGCGTTTTTATTTATCTTTTTTTATTATGACAATTTATAGCGACGATGCGGCATCAAGTATTGCTCATGTGCCTATATTTGACAAACTGTTGAATCATTAGCGTTTTATTTGTTAGCGTTCTAG